GGGGGAAGGCTCCTATATATAGCAGAAAAGCCAAGGCAGGAGCTGCATCAGAAAAATGAAAGTCAGATGCAAGCAAAATATAGGCAATCTGTCTTTAACTGACAAAGTCAACATGTGCCTGGTGATGGGAGCCTCAGAGACAGACAAGGCATGGCTAAGATGTGACCGCTGCAATTAGGGAGAGGGGTTTCCTCTGCTGAATGCTAAATTCAGGCAGGTTGAGAGATGAATGAAGACTGCATGCCATAAGGGAGGGCCAGGAATAGAAAGCTCATGTGGGGGAAGAATGCTCTAGATGTAGCAAATGCATCTCCAAGAGGCTTTATCATTCTTATTTTGTCACTACTATCAACAATAATAAGAAAAGAGCTTACAGAGCAACCTCCCCAATCCCTAAGCAATGCATCCAGAGATTAGCAGCAGAGAGCAGTGGGCAGCTTGAGAAAAGCTGTTCAACAACTGTGGAGGCATGCATAATAAGATTACTGAATTGGAGTTGCATGTTTTCAAGGATAAATGTGATATTATTGCACTGGCAAAGACATAGTAGGAACAGGGGAAAGGATGAGAAATAGCCTGCCAGAACAGAGGGATTACTGCAGCTGAGCTCCCAACAGGACAGGGACAAGTGGGAAGTGGAAGCAGTGAGGAGAGGAAGTGCACATCCTACTTGACATGCAGATATGCAGAGAAGCTTTTTGCAAAGTGGATGATGTCATCGTGTTTTTCTCAGCCTTCAGGACAGCAAGAGAAAAATAGATGAAACCAGCACATGCAGAGGAGTCTGTAAGACGAGCAGACTTCCTCCTCCCTCCCCATTCAACACTAATTGCTCAAATATTGATCAGGGAAATAATTTCTAAGGACTAAAAAAAGAAAGGATTTCTTTTCCTCCTAAGAGGCAAAAAGGGCAATGTTCTTGCAGAGTTGCTAAAAAGGTCCAGGTGATCAGAGGACTTCCAAGACCATGTAAGTTAATTAAGATGTTTAGCTAGTCTAATTTGATATTTCTGCATCCTGAAAAGCATGGCACAACTGCAGTCTGATTTTTCAGGATGCCATGAAGTCTAGCTGGATTTACAGCTAGGCTGGCTCTTCATGGGGCATGAATGTCTCACCAGGCAGGCAGGCCCACAGTCCTCAACTAGCCTGGCAAGTAAAAAAAAAACTACTGAAGGCAATTCTGCTTTGGAAACCCAGGGCTGCTAACCAGGTTGTGGGTGACAGAAACCAGCTGCCCAGGCTCAGCCTTGCTGAAGGAAAGAGCAATTGTGACTAAAAATGCAAACCCAAGTGCTGGAGAACTGCTCCCTACCACTGCCCTGACATGGACATGAAATCCTGAGAAAACTTGGCTTCTGGAGAGCTGCTTTTCTTTCTTAAAGAAAGGAAAACTACCATGCCAAAACATGTTACAGCCACTCCAGAAAATACCTGCACCTCATCTTCATCTGGGGTAAATCCAGACAGAAGTGAGCACCAGAGGCCTCTACAGTTAAAAATGGATGTTACTAAAGAACAAGAGGAATGCTATTTAAAAAAAAAACAAAAACAAAAACAAACCACCCCACCACACAAAAACCAACCACGAAACTGTTAAGAGAGACTGGGAGAATGATAAAAATAAGCAGAAATATGCAAAAATGGTGATTGCACAAAGAGGAGGAAGCATCCACAAAGACTGCAGTGAGTATTTCTCAGGGATATATAGGCAAATAAAGTCACAGGAAGGAGAAGAAAACAATCCTCTGAAATAATTCTAGAGAGAGAAATCTAAAGTTTTATTTAATAACTTTGTTATTTTTTCATGGGGTAGAGGTAGAGGAGTCCCTCAATTTTGTGCACAGGTGTGTTCCCACTGGGCCAGGTAAGCACAGGGGAGCACAGTGCAGCAAATGCCTCAAAGTCAAATGGACGGGTGGGAGAAATGGTTGGTGTGCCTGTTGCACAGTCTGACCACTGAGAAGGGCTGGAGTGCTGCCCTGCAGCTCTCTGGCACCGCACACGAGGACAGTGTGGCTTTGGTGACAGCTGCAAGGGACTGCAGCAGGACAGCAGAGCAGCAAACACCCTCTGGTAGTGCTGGGGGGGAGTAACAAGGCAGCAAGGCTGCGGCTTCATCCGCTGTCTCATGCCTCATCACAGAAATCTGGAGGCTCTCTAAGAGTGGGTATTATAAAATCTAACAGAATGTTCTTTTTAGTCACGTACAGGGTGAAGCATCGCACACAAGTAAGACACTGCCTGCCATGAGGTGGTTAGTTTAAAAGCCCAATGGATGAGTCAAAAGATATGGGTAAATCCCAAGTGGATAAAAGAGTACCAAGAATTAAAGTCGGGGGGGATTCTTCATCTCTTATTTGAATGTTTTCCACCCTGAGGTACACCACACACAAATCCTTTTTTTAAAAAACAAAACCAACCATAAATAGAACAACACTCACTCTCTTGAGATTTAACTGGTCACAGTATAACCACGAGAAGTTCCACAGCAGGCTGTTATGGAGGAGCCAGGTCAGGTGTCGTGCAGAAAATGTTAAAATACAAACAATGTTGCCAGCCAGCAAGAAAGCCCACCTTACTGGAGCAGGAGTTAGGCGATGGAGCATGGCTTACAGCGGGACAGTGTTAGGTTTGGGGGAAAACCTGCATTTGTAACCATTTTCTAGACTTCTTAAAGACAATGTCAAGGGAGATTATTTCTTAGCTTTAAAATAAATAACAATGAATAAAACACCCAAACAACTTTGCATTGAGTGGCACAAATCTGAAGAAGAATAAGCAACAAGATCAGTACAGACTTTCTCAAGACTTATTTCACATCTTCAGTGACAGTCATTAAACCACAGAATAGTTTACTTTCTTCCCGTTCTATAGGAACAGTTTGAGCTCCCAGACCTGGCAGAGCAGATGGAGTCTGGCTTTAGGAAAGGTGGCAGTTCTTGGAGGCCTGTGGCCTCAGTAAAAGTGCTCCACTGAGTGGACAGCTGAGGAAAGCTGGCCAGGAACTATCAGGCAGAGGCTCAGATTTAGAAAACGCAGTCTGAAAGGGAGCTGGGCACAGCTGGTTAGGTCAGATAACAGGTCCAGCTGCCAAATCCCTCTCCCCATATCTTTCCATCGGGAGATGAGGACTGGGTCCAGCTTATTCAATACAGAGAATGAATTCTCATGAAGGTGATCAAAGCAAAGGGCATACCCTGGCATGAGAGAAAAGCTATCCACCAGCAGGGAGAAAATCGGATAAAGAATTGGATTAGAGCTCTTCTGTCCCTGCCTGGTAAGCTAATTGTTCATCATGCCCATTTTCCTCGCTATACTCTAAACAAGTAGGAAACCATGTTTGGGAACTGCTGGAATATTTGAGCTCCTAGAACATTCAGCATCATTTTCATTACAGTAACAAAGGCACAGAATGCTAACTTTAAATGGGAAGGATCATAATGCATTACCATTCACTCTCAATTAATACAGAGCCTGCAATGCTGAATGCACTTACTCTGAGAATTTTCTCAGAAAATGAAGCTAGAATGTATTTCACTTATAAATCACAGAAGACACTTATTTGGCAAGAATGACTCCTGCTCATACACAATAAATCATGAACATCAACAGTCTAATGGATTTTGAGTCAGTGCCACAGACAGCAAAGCCCAGGGACTGTGTTTCAGGGTTCCAGCATTGTGCCAAAGGAGCCTTATAAATGATTAATGCATTCAGCACAGTGTCATCTGTGCCACAGGAGAGAAAGACACATTCTGGGTCTCTGTTTGTCATTAAAAAGAGTGATAATCAGTTCAGCAGCCGACCATGCCTCTCCTTTCCCCTGCCAGAATGAGCCATTTAGCTCTGCACTTCACAAAATCTTTTCCCCAAACTTTTACATGTGCTCTTGTTTCATGATGTGCAACATTCTGACAGGAGATAAGTGAGGGAAAGTAGTCTATTTTTGTATGCAGCTCGCCAAAGCCAGGCTTCCTATGAGATGGAGCTAAGGTTTGCATTTGCAAATATATGTGCAAAGAGGTGACATTAAAGATGTAGCTGGGGCCTCTTTCTAATTCTTTGCCATACTGTGAGGATGCCAGCCCATAAAAAGCCCGAGTTTCGGTCCCCACTGCTCAGTCTCTCATGCTTTTCAGTTATTCATCCCACAGTTTTCAACCTCTCCCCCTTTACTTTTGTCCCCATGGTTACTGAATCACTGTGTTCGCAGAGATTTTCCTCACTAAAGAATGTGACTAACATGAGACAGCTAAATTATCAGAGCCAACTCTGACATTGGTTTCTCCTAACATGGATCTTATCTTCCAAACGCCTTCAAATAGGTCTGTTGCACTGGCACCAACTTCAGACTAAGCACCACTTCAACTATTAACAGAGACAGAGCTGCAGCAGTATTGCACAGGGAGACTTCAAACAGGCTGCAATCGGGCAAGGATGAAATTCAAACACAAGCTTTATCAGACCTGCAGCCTAGGAGTGCATAATACAAATAACTAGGAGATGTATTTCACCACAAAATTTTAAATTAAGCCCTAGAGTGGAAGGCGTTAGTTCCAAACTGGACTTGGGTCTAGGAGTTCGAGTAGGTTTCTTCTTTTTAAAAGCTAGTTTGGTTAAACAGTAAGAGACACACATGCCCAGAGAAACCTCTATTACAAAACACACCAAGACACGCCACTGGATAACAAGTCTACAACCTCCAGCCACAGCAATCGGCATATGCTGACCCAAGGATCAGTGGATCTGCTCCTACAACAAGCAGCCTTGGCTGCCCCACAAAAACTTAAACCAGATCCCTTCCAAACTACCCTCAAAAAAAAGATACATTAAAACTTGTTTGCATCTGAGAGGTCTTTCTCTCCTTCATTCACAGCATTCCTCCAGCCACAAGTGCCTAGACACTAAAGCAACAGTGGCAGGACAACACCTCATGTAAGCATCACCAATCATGAGCCAACACAGACAAGACTTGAGAAGAAATGTGGAGATCTTACCTTGGCCGCTACGGAGGAGTTGGGCTTCTCCAGAAGGTCCCAGAGCTTTTTCCTTTTGTCAGCACAGCAAGTGTTATCAAATTCCTCCCCTTCCCTTTCCCTCAGTGTCTCGGCTTCTCTCTTCAGCTCCTCGTTCATCTGCTCCTTCTTCTGGTGGTAGCGGGCCTGGCAGCAGGACTCCAGGTAGATCTCATCCACCCCCCAGTAGTCCAGCTCCTGGCTGAAGGACAAGGCGCACATCTCCTCCATCATGTGCAGCTTGCCAGTACGGTAGAAGTTCAAGATCGAGGTGAATGCCCCGGGATGCCTGTCGAAGAAGTACTCATTTTCCTCCAGGTTGTAGTCATCACAGATCTCCATGAGGGAGTCGTGTGTGTTGCAGTCCCGGAGCTTCCCCAGCCTGGTCCGCGGCAACCTGTCCAAGGTCCGCCAGAGAACCTCATGGGCCAGCCCCCCCACGTTGAGCTTGACCCTTCGGGAGCAGGCCTTGCTCCTGACGATCTCCGTGGGGTCTGGAG